GAGATGCAGCCGCGGTCTAGCCGATATCTCTAGCCGGGCTCTAGAAGCATAGAAGCATGCCTCCCCTCCGCCCCTCGTCGACGATCGGGGCCTCTCTTGCCGCGACGAGAGCTGGCCAGCTCTTTCAGGCTCGAATCGAGGCAGTGACGAGGAGAGTCTGATTCAGGCGCGACGAGCGGACGGGAGGCTCGATCGTGTGCACGCGGCAGTACCGCCCGCCCGAGGCACAATCTCGGGCTAGATCTCGGCCGCACCTCGGCTCCACCTCGGCCGCACCTCGGCCGCACCTCGGCTGCACCTCGGCTGCACCTCGGCCGCACCTCGGCCGCACCTCGGCCGCACCTCGGCTGCACCTCGGCTGCACCTCGGCTGCACCTCGGCCGCACTGCCCGAAGGTGACGCTCGGCTTGGGCTGGAGCCACGCGGTGGACGTGTGGAGCATGGGCTGCATCCTCGCCGAGCTGTGGACGGGCGAGCTGCTCTTCCGCACGCACGACGAGGCGCGAGATTGGCCGAGATTGGCCGAGGTTGGCCGAGGTTGGCCGAGAGGATTCCCGGGTAGCCGCTCTCTGGTGGAGCAATCGCGCTGATGACCCGAGATTCCCCGAGATTCCCCGAGATTCCCCGAGATGACCCGAGATTGACCCCCTCCAGGTCGAGCACCTCGCGCTGATGGAGCGGCTGCTCGGCTCGCTGCCGCCGCTCGTGCCCCTAGATGCGGAGCAGATATCCACACACCCCCATGCCCCCCTACCCTCCCCTATGAGGCGCGACGCGCGTGTTCTAAATCGTGCTCGAGAGGACGCGTATTCAGCCGCGCAACACAGCCGTATTCAGCTGCATCTAAGCTGCTTTCACGCGGTGCTCGGCATACACGGCGCGAGACCGCGTTCCAGCCCTTGACTCTGGGCGCGCTCTCGACGCAGGCACATGCTCCGTGCCGCTGCCGACCGCTCGCGCTCGATGGAGAAGAACGTCCGGCACGGCGCGCTGCGCTGGCCTGACCGCGCACACGACCGGCGCTCCGCCGTATCTCCCCGTATCTCCCCATACCCTCCCCACATCTCCCCACATCTCCCCACATCTCCCCAGATCTCCCCAGATCTCCCCAGACCTCGAGGCGCCTGTCCTTGAGTCTTACCTCAAGGAGGCCCGTCTGTGGTCAGGCGGTCGGAGGCGCACGTGCGGTCGCAGCCGCGCTTGCGCGACGTCCTCTTCGGCCCGCGGGAGGCGAGGCGGGGCGGCGGAGGGGAGGTCTCGCTAGACGGAGACACTCTCTGGTCTCGCTAGACTGAGACTCAGACAGAGGCTCTCTATGTGTAGGACGAGCCGCCGGGCGGCGCGCGCGAGCTGCAGCGGCTGTACGAGCTGCTACTCGGCTGCCTCGAGTACGAGCAAGACCATGTCCGGGACACGTCCACGACATGTCCGAGACATGTCCACAGGCTGCCTCGAGTACGAGCCGGACCAGCGCCTCACAGCGGCGGACGCGCTCAAGCAGCCATTCCTCGCGCCGCACACGGCGCCGCTGCCGCCGCCGGCGTAACGGGAGGGGAGGCGCACCTCGCCGCAGTCTGCTGGCAGGCCGCTGGCAGGCTGGTCGCCGATGCCGCAGCCGATGCCGCAGCCGGGACGACGGCGGGAGACGGCTCAACGGCGCCATGGCCGGTGGTCACGCAGGCAGCGCCCACTGCAGCTGCTCTAAACCGATACGGTAGAGCGCGCGCCCCCGTACCGCCTCAGCAGCTCCATGAGGTGTACGGCGTGTACTGGATCCTCGGAGAGTAAATTGTGAGCTCGTACGGTCGAACGGCTCTAGCTCGTGCAGGTGCCGACATGTGCATGTATGTACCCCGTGCAAACGCGTCAAGCCGAATAATACTTTCTGATTATATGAAAAACATTTACGATTGTTAAAAGTAAAAAGAGAGTGGCATATTTTGATTTTTTCTGCGCGCAGGGTGGCAACGTTTTTTGATTAATACATTAAAAAAGAAATTTTGGAGACGACGTTGCACGCTTTTTTGTCGACCTGTCATGTGCCCACGCCCATGACAGGCTGCTATGAGAGTGCACAATCGATTTCCCGTCCGCCAAAAAAATTGCGGTTTTGCCCGCCAAAAGAAAGCCAATTCTTGACTTGGGCCCTGCGGGCGGCCTTCTCTCGAGGTCTCGAGATACACAAAGCGGCCAAATTGCGGTTGACGGCTCATCGTACGTAACCGATCCGCGCTGGATGGCTCGCGCCGGCTCGATCAGCTTCACGCGCGTCTCGGCGACCAACTTCCGCCCAGGCGGACACGCGATCGGATAGCGACCCCTACGTGCGCTGGTCTCTCGGAAAAGAGACCCTCGCCGAGACAAACTTCCTCCGTAATGTGCTGGGAAGGCGTGGCCGCACGCAGACGTCCACGCAGAACCCAGCGTGGGACTCAGAGTACCTTGCTAATTTACCACATGGAGTCGGCGCCAGCATGACGCTGACTGTCAGCGTGTGGGACTCTGATCGCGGCCAGGACGACCCACTTGGCTCTGCAACCTTTGAGCTTCAATTGGAAAACGGGGTGCGCACAATGACGCTTCCGCTCGAGCACGTGCCCGGTGGACGCGAGTCAACAGTCACATTCACGTCGAGAGTCGAGCTGCCGCTCCGCCCGTCGCCCGAGCCCGAAGCCGAGGCCGTGACCGAGGCCGTGACCGCTGGCCCAGTCACGAGGAAGGAGATCCGAATGATGAGCCCTGAAGAGCAACAGCGGTATGCGGCGGCTGTCAAGAAGATGATGGAGAACACGAGCGGGCCGGAGAGCTCCGAATTCTTCCGCCTGGCGGGATACCACGGCTGGCCCGGCAACGGCGCCGAGCGAAACTACAGCTACTGCGAGCACCGTCAGGAGACCTTCCCGGGCTGGCACCGCGCGTACTTGATAGCCTTTGAGCAGTCGCTGCGCGATGCCGATCGCGCGCTGGGCAACGACGGACACATCGGTCTGCCGTATTGGGACGTCCTTGCGCGGCCCGAGCTCAACGGCCAGGTCTCGTTCAAACCTTACTATTGCCCCCGCAGTGTGTTTGTCGACCTCCCTGTTTGTCGACCTCGCCATGAAATCGCGCGCCTGCGCCTTGTTTCCAACAGGTCGTCCCGTCCATTGTCAAGGAGCACTTTGGCAACGGGACCGCCGTGCCGCGCGCTCTCCTCGACGAGAGCTTACCGCCAGGCGGCGCGGCGCATCAGCGCAAGCGGCTCTGGGATGAGGGGTACGCCATCGCCGACGACGCGGATCTAAAGAGGACGATCGAGAGCCAACGCCTCCCCGAAAAGATTGGCGACGCGCTCTGGATTCGCCAGCACTACCGCGCGGCCTCGACGTACGGCACCTCCAGCCGAGATTCCGTGGAGACGCCGCATGACCTCATCCATGTGCTCAGCGGCTTCCCGATGAAGTCCCTGATGCACGCCGCATTTCACCCTCTCTTCTGGCTGCACCACTGCAACATCGATCGGCTGTATGAGGCGTACCTGGAGAACAACCCAGATTCCCAACGCGAATTTGAAGGCAATCCCACCACCCGTGCTCAAGGGTGGAGGGCCGTCCTTCGCGCCGTCGAACGACTTTGAGGACGAGGACCATGAGGTCGATGACACGCCCACTTTCCCGCCCGGCTCGACGGTGACGTATGCGGTGGAGGAGGCGCCCGGCTACCTGAACCGGGGAATGCTGCTTAACGAGGTCGCCCAGTGCTTTGCAGCGTGGGCTGGTCCTACTGCGAGTGGGCTCGAGTTTGAGCGGCTGCCCGCGGAGCGCGCCGACGACGCGCAGCTCGTTATCGGCTGGGCCGACCACTCCAAGGTCAACCAGAAGAAGTTTGACGGACCCGGCGGCCACCTCGCAGAGGCGAACGCTTCGAGCATCGTGTTTGACTCGGCGGAGCGATGGCTGCTGCACGGTGTGGGCTGGGAGAAGCTCGCTCGCTCCGAGGAGCCCAAGGGTGCGCCACCCAGCTTCTACCTTGCGCCCGTCCTCCTGCACGAGATCGGCCACACTCTCGGGCTCACGCACTCTCACACTCCGACCGAGGTGATGGCGCCGCATTACGCAGCTGACAAGGTCAGTCTGGCGCCTGGCGACAAGTCGCGCGCCCGCCTAGCATACAGCGTGCCCGAACCCGACGAAAGCAATCTAACACCACCACGTGCTCCAGCGGCAGCGCCCGCGCCGCCCGCGCCGCCCGCGCCGCCCGCGCCGCCTGCGCCGCCTGCGCCGGCAAAGAGCGGCGCTTGCACCCTGCTCTGAGCGGAGCCGGCGCTTCCGGCTTGAAAGAAAGAACGCAGATCACTTTGTGTGATGTGTTGGAGAAATTTACCTTACCAAAACCTACCTTGTTTTACCTTTTTGTGTATTCATGTTCTATGTAAAAAATCGTCCACCATCGAGCCGGCGAGGCCCGGCGTAGGCTAGGAAGCCCGCTCGCTGTTAGGACGCGCCCCTTACTCCCGCGAGAGCGCTGGCCGCGCCGCTCGCAGCCCATCCCAGGTCGATCCCGGCGACGACGAGGTCGAAACCCTCGTCGGCCATGCGGCGCGCGGTGGCGGGGTCGGCGCAAAAGATGGCCGCCTGCCGTCCGTGTGCGTGAGCGAGGCGGAGAGCGTGGCGCACCGCCTCCAGCACCTCTCCCTCGGGCGAGTCGGTCGGGTCGTGGCCGAGCGCAAGGCCCTGTGCGCAAGGGAGCAGGCGGAGGCAGGTCTCCGCGAGCCCGGTGCCGCGCCGGTGGCGGTGCCGCTGCTGGCGGTGGCGGTGCCGTGGGCGGTGGCGGTGGCGGTGGCGGTGTGGCGGTGTGCTCGGGAGTGGCGCAGAGTGGTCCTGTCCCGACCCGTGGGGCGCTCTAGCTCGGGGTGATACTGGTTCTGTCCCGAACACTGGGGCGCTCTCCCCCCTCAGAGGGCGCTCTAGCTCGGGGTGATACTGGTTCTGTCGCGCACCAAGTCGTTAGGCCCGATGAATATCTCCCCATATCTCCCCATATCTCGCACCAAGTCGTTAGGCCCGACGAAGATGCCGCTGAGCCCGTCCACGCTCAGGATCGCGTCCAGGTCCTCGAGCGCGCCTGCAGCAAGGCTCCAGGAACGGTCGCTTCCGGCGAGGAGCAGCCAGGGAGCCGCCGAGAGGCAATGCAATGCGAGACGCATGTGCTGCATCTCGAGGTGGCGAGATATGGGGAGATATGGGGAGATATGGGGAGACTCCTGTGCTGCATCTCGGTGCGTGCGCGGCCAGGATCGCAGCTCTAGGACCGCGGCCAGTACGATGCGGCGTTGGAAGGCCATGGGGAGGCTCGGCTACTCCGCCGCGCCTCGTGTCTCAAGCATCGCAAAACTCTGCACGCACGCGTTCGACGCCCGAGTCCAGTCGCCCCGGCTGCCCTCCCACCCCAGCGCTGCGCGGTGTGGGCCGTACGACCGGTGCCCGGCGGGTGGGAATTTGGTCGCTCGCACAAAGGCCTCGCACTCCTCCACCGAGTTGATCATCGGGCAGATGAGGGCGGCGGCGCCGGCGTCGAGCGCCTTGGCGATCGCGCCGTCGGAGAGCTCTTCGATGCGGACGACGGCGAGCGGCGCGTTACCTGCCGCGTCGCGCGCGGCGTCGATCGCCTGCAGCAGCGGCACCACCTCGCCGGTGCCGTGCTGCTGGTCCACCACGACGGCGTCAAAGCCTTGCCGTGCGATGACCTCGGTGTACAGCGGTGAGCCGCCGACGATCCAGGCGGCGATCTTGGCGCGCGCGCCGGACGGCGCGACCTGCTGCTGTCCTGCGGCGAGATAAGCGCGGGTGGCCGGCGGGAGGTGGCGGAGCGCAGCTCGAGGTCGTCGGCACAGGAGTGCCTGCATCGCTGTGTCTACGAACCGGCAGTCGCCTTTAGCAGCTCGGAAAAGAATTCAATCGCGAACTTTTTTTGTTTTTTCACGGCCCCTCCCTGCGAACGCGCACCCCCATAAAACGCCGCACAACCTGCTCGTCTGAATTCGGACGCCTGTGCTACCCTTCACACACGCTACACACGGTGTATACTAGCACGGCGCATCCTGCGCCGTGCCCCATGAATGTCTATACTCCAGCATCACACCCTCTGTGCCACAATCGTGTCACGTGGACGTCCCTTAGTCGGCGCGTCTTGTCTGTCGCGATGTCCTAGACGTCGTGCCTTTCTGGTCCTTTACCATCGCCTTCAGCCAGCCACCCTCCGGCTCTGAGCCTCCGCGCTCAAACGTGGTACCTTACGGTGAGGTGCACTCCACCCCCGAGGTCATGGCGGACATCTCCGCCACGCCCAGCAGCGAAAAAATGGCCAATCCGATCACCGACTACTCTGGCGATCCCGTCACTCTCGACGACAACCTCGGCCTGCGCCCTCGCGCCCGCGCCGTCTCCGGCCTGCGCCCCTGCGCCCGCACCATCTTCGGCTCAGCGCCGCCCATCATCCAGCTCGCCCTCTCCATCGCCACCTCCATCTTTGTCGTCACCGTCGACTTTGTCCACTACTTTCTCACTGCCGCCCGCCGGCTCGTTGTGTGCGCTCGCGAGCGGTTCACCGCCGCTTGCGCTCTCTCTGCGGCTCCGAGTCTTGGCGCGAGCCACGCAGGCTCCGAAGTCTACTGCGTTTTCACCATCCTGCTCACCGTCATCCTCGCCGTCGCTGTTTCTGGACCAACACCAGTGCCAGTCCCCTCAGAGCCGCTTCCAATCATGATCTCCATCAACGGCGCCTGCCATTTTGCGCTCACCAGCTCCTCTGCATCAGCACAGCCTCCAGGACGGCCGCCAGGCGCTCCCGGAAGGCAGACCGATGGATGGTTTACAACCGTCCTCACAGGTCCGTCCATCAACAACATCATCGCCGGCGCCGAGACCCGGCGCAGCTCAACTTCAACTTCAGATCACCCACCCTGCCCCAGTCCCAAGCGAGGGTGCCGACGATGCGGACCATCTCGTGTTGGGGGGGTTGCTTCGATCGAGTCTACCGGTCGCCGCCCAGCTCCGTTGCTGTCAGCTGCCCCTTGCCTCCTTCACTACTGCCATCGGCTGCGGGCCGACGCCGACGCCTCCTGTCGGACCTCTCCTCCGGGGCGCCGACCGTGGGGGGGGCCGGGGGAAGGGGGCGCAGCCCCCGACCTGGCTGCCAAGGCGCCAGCCGAGGCTGTCACACAAGAGCCCCGAGGCGACAGCCGAGGCCACTACCCAAGGTGGAGCCGAGGCGACAGCCCCCGACCTGGCTGCCAAGGCGCCAGCCGAGGCTGTCACACAAGAGGCCGAGGCGACAGCCGAGGCCACTACCCAAGGTGGAGCCGAGGCGACAGCCGAGGCCGCCGCCCACAAGGCCAACCAACCAGCTGAGGCCTCTGCCCAAACGGAGGCCGAGGCGCCAGTCACAGCCCGCCCAAACCAAGGCGCCAGCCGCCGCAAGCTCTGGTGGAACCTTTTCAGAATTTGCTACATCAGCGCCGTCGCCGTCAGCTGTACCGTCGAGGACCCGAGTCTCGCCTTCGTCTTCGAGCGTGTTACCTCGCCTCGCACGACCGCGTAGAGCTTACCATCGAGCATCGCCGTGCGAACAAAATATCGTATCGGCATCGGCGCCGCAGCCTCTTCCTCCCACTCATTTGTGGACGGTCGTACAGCTCCGAGACCGAGTTGACAACAAACTCGCTATCGCTGCCTTCGCCGCCGATGCGCCTGCGCCTCGATGATGGCGCACAGCTGCGCTGGCGAGAGGCCCGCGACGCGCGCGCCGATGCGGTGGGAGGCCATATACACACACAAACATGAGCACTCTCGACGATAGATAGCACTTGGCGTGGCGCATTTTTCTTTTTTGAGAGAGGCACGGACTTTTGTTTGTGTCCCGCCTCGCGCGGGGGCCGGTCACGGCACGGTTGCAGCCGCATCATGCCGGCG